TCGGGTTCGCCCGCCCAGTCCAGAAGTCTGCTGCGGGCGACAGTCACTCCAACCCTATCACCCCCGCTAGGGAGACTGTCGCCCGCACCCAGGGTGCACCACGGGGAGGTCTTCTGGCACCGCACCCCATATATACCTACCTAATGTACGCTTAGAGCTTTAAACCTACGCAATAGATTTTAATGCGTTTTTTTTTAATAGATAGAATGATTCTTAAGGAAAGTTTATATGTATAATACATGCATATTGCACTCGTGCGAAGCCGGGGTGGGTCGCTATCGCTAGTAATGTTATGTAGCACGTAAGTCGTGCTCGTGAAGAATATGTGAAATTATATTAATAAATGTATAAATAAGTATATTTTAAAGGTAATAAATAACTAAATCTAAATCGTGTACTCGTGTTTTAGATATGCTCTTTGTTTTAATTTTTTAAGTACATAATAAAATAATGACTTCAAATATCGAAAAAAAGAACACAAAACACATTTTGCATACGAAATTTATTGTTTAGAAAGTGAATGTATGCCTCTATATCATCTAGATTTTTCTACCTGAAGGAACATAACTACATTCCCATCCCAATTCCATTCAATTATATTTAGCAGAGTTGAAGCTGGGATTTTTAAACATTAAATCTACATAATCTAGACAACAATGTTTATGAACTTGAACAACACACACATATCACACAGACACACACACACACACACACACACACAAAGCCTACTTTATCTCGGTAAAAATTCCACAATATCATAAACCTACCTTAATATTTTTGTTTATTTTTATCCTAGGCTATAGATGAAACAATATAAATTAAATTTCAATTAAAATATCAATTAAGAATTAAATTGTAATCAATACAAAATAGTAAATTAATACGGTATTGTTGATAAACAAATAGGTAGGCGCTATCGTTACCTATTAGGATTACATTTTTATCAGTCAATCGATCGACTTAAAATTCCGGATATTGTATCGAATTGTTTTAAGTAGGTAACGCCTAATTGAATAATTCTGGTTTTATCTTGATTACATCGCCATGATTCACGATTATATATATCAATAAGAAATAACCAATAGTATAGAGATATTGCAATGGTGTGATAGTATGACACATATACCTCCTTATTTACTATCTTTGGTATCTACCTACGAAATCAACGCATGTGTATAATCTACCTACACGAGTAAAACTTTGGCATTGCTTTCCATTTCTCAATCTAATGAGTTATGCACTAAAATTCTGATATCATATCCGAATGTTAATAGTTAATTTGTTTAAGTTAATCGACCAGTCCAATGAGAACTGGACATTGAACTTAAAACAAGATTAGTCAATATTTAAAATATAAAATTTTGCAGGTACCTCGACGGACATAAATGCATAGAGCTAAGTCAACATGTCCCATTTGTACCAATTTGCTCACCGATATTTAAATCAATATATGTATAATGTAAAATTAAACAAGCGGCAAACGAAGGAGTATGAGTAGTCATTTGTCTTAAAACTATCGCTTTTTTTCCTTGATGGGGGAAAATCATCCAATGATTTCTCTCGCCCGAGTGAGGCGTGTCAGACTCTCACTGACTAAAAACCACCCCGTTTCTACTCCTGCAATTCAAGCCGGAGCGCGGGCAACCCGTTAAGTCCTCCGCGGTTCCGTAACTTGAATTCAACCATGATAAAAAAAATGTTTTTCTCTGATCCTGTAGTCACGAGTGTCTGTCGTGATGAAGTTTGCTTTATTAATAGGTGAAAACTTTTTTCTTTTTCAAAATTAATTTAAATAAAAAGTCCCGTTATTTTTATTTTACAAAAACACGCAGAAAATTATTTTTCATAAATTAGTAGGTATCTTAATAGCTGTATAATAAATAAAAAAAAACAATTTACCATGAACTTAAACATGGCCACGACCGATGATTGTCATTGTCAATGACTTGTCGTCTAAACTATGACGACTGGTTAACTATCAGTCGGAACTTCACAATGAGGTTGTCATACACAAAGTAAAATCAAAACAGGAAAATATGAACAGGATTTGACAATTTCTATAAATATGTTTTCCCTGAACAGTTCAGGTAATATAAACCTTTCTAAATTGTATGTGTCGGAATGTTATTTTTTGTAAAAATGTAGGTATCAACATCATTAGCCGGTTATCGCTGAACAAAAGCCTCCCTGCAGTAATTTACTAGAAACATCATTAAGATTTACTTAAACGCACCTATTTACTTGAAAGGATAACTTTCGGTGTAGTGTAAAATTTTAAAGTAAGTATCGATAGAGATGGATATAATTCCACCTGGAGACACAATAATTCCAATAAACACAGCATACGTTCTAAGCTTGGAGTGAAAATGTAAACATGCGATAATCAATACATAGTATAAAACAAAGTCGTTTTCGCTGTATGTCCGTATGTATGCTTAGATCTTTAAAACTACGCAACGGATTTTGATGCGGTTTTTTTTAATAGATAGAGTGATTCTTAAGGAAGGTTTATATGTATAATACATGCATATTGCACCCGTGCGAAGCCGGGGCGGGTCGCTAGTTCATAATATAGGAAAGTGTATTTTTAGGTCACATCAAAAGCTTGTTTTGAAGGGACCATTTACGTTAATGTTATCCCTACATGTTTAACGAACGTGGGTCTGAGTCTTGATCATTAGAACCTTGGATCGGTTCCTTTACCTGTTTCCTTTTGAACCCTAAAATGCTTATACTAGTTACTTGTATTTAAGTATACTGTACCATCATGACGTATTTACTTGCTCTCCTGTAGTACTTGCAGTGCAAGTTTAATTAATTTATAAATTATACGTATGTTCACGTATCTAAGACTATGATTTCATATAATTACAAGTGGGATACCGGTTTTAACTGTATCTCCTTTGAGCTTGACACGAGTTTATATAACCTGTGTAATAGTAGTTGCACAATGGCTCGGAATATTTCCACAATTACTCTAGTTGTTTATGTGTATCAATCGATGTGCCAATATGAATTGCCTTTAATTCTATCACGAAGAAGTACATCAGACAGATGCCTATGGTTATACATAGAATCCACTCGTATTCTCATATCTTTAGGATGAACAGAGAACAAACAGTACGAGCTCATCAGCCCTATATGATGTGTCCTATTTATAAATAAGAGTGGGAGAGCCATGCTTCGGCACGAATGGGCCGGCTCGACCGGAGTGATACCACGGCCTCACAGAAAACCGACGTGAAGCAACGCTTGCATTGTGTTTCGTCGTGTGAGTGAGGTTACCGGAGGCCCAATTACCTTCCCCTTCCCCAATTTCCCCAATCCCTGAATTCCCAACGATCCTCAAACTCCTAATCCCCAAAAAGCCGGTGACGCACTTGTAACGCCTCTGGTGTTCCAGATGTCCATGGGCGACGCCGATTACTTACCATCAGGTGATCCGTCTGCTCGTTTACCGGCTTATGGCATAAAAAAAAAAAAAAAAATAAATATTCTGCGCCGGACATAAATTTATAAATTGTTCATTTCATCAAAGGACTAAGGTCAAAGGTCAAGATTGCAATATAGAGCAACATAGTCGACTTAGTAATTACAAAATAACTACTATGTAACAAATGTATAATGGACATACAGAGTTCATAATTATTACAAAACAACCTGTTAAGTGCGACAAAAACAGAAGACTGCTAGTTCTCTATATTTATAGAGATTAGTCTCTGAGCTAAGTGGGGCAACCGGTAGTGAAGAATAGTTCAGTTAAAGAAAACATAAATAAAAAGTACATTAATGCAGAACAAAGAATCTATACATTTGTAGTTGTTTAAATTATTAATACTTTAGTCGATTGTACGTTATTTTTAAGAAGAGGAAGTTTTTGGTATTGCTATTGTTTGGAAATTGAAAATAAAGTCCACATGTAACCGAAACATTTACGTTGATCATTACTAAACTTCTATAAGTCTCGCCAAAAGTCACATATTTTGGCATTCAAACGATCCTGTGATATCGTTAATGTTTCAAATACTAGTTTTACGTAATGTCGATCGACTTGTATAGTGTTACTACGCATGATCTAACGATTCTGACGTCCGATAACCGACCGGAATTTGTAGAAATTAAAGATTCAAATGTGAGGGTTATTGATATCCATTTATTAGTAGGTCCAGTCTCACCAAACTGAGTGGGTTTTAAGTATCCTATTATCATACTGTTATCGTTATTGCTGTTTAAGGCTCCCAGATTAATCTAAACACGAATAATTACACAATTGTTATAACGTCTACAGTTTACATCCGTTTTTGAAGCCGTCCGTGGAATAAGTGCGCAAAACTTTTTACGTAAAACATAAAATCAAGTTAAAATCTCGAGATTACGTTTAGCATGAATTCTTTGCGGAGTTGTTATCGCTTTGGAATGTGTCTTAGAACCGCCCACAATGTAAGCAATTGTTTTTGTTGGAGCATGCCCTTAGTAAATTACAGAAATAACTCTAATACTGAGTTCTCGGATTGAATTTAGGAATTAGGTACTTAATGAAATTTTTGAACATACCTATACCTACTAATTGAAAAGGATATTGTTATGGGCATGTTTACGAAAATTGGGTATTGCTTTAAATTAAGTTAATTAACATTAACAATGAAACTTGTTTTTAACACATATTAATTAAAACGAGCGAAGGGTTCACCTGTAAGCGGTACACAACTTTAAAGGCTTGCGATATACTTACGTATAATTTACATTTAATACTCAACAAAGTCAACTATTCCACTTACTGCTGCTGAAACTATCGACTAGGTACTTTATACCTTGTTAGGTGAAGAAAATCGTTACTTCATGACTTGAGGTATTTAATGCTATACTATATTTTCAAATGTATAAATAAACATCGTTATAAATACTGTTCATACTAATACACAGGCAAAAAGGCTGACTGATTACCTGATGGTAAGCAATAAGCTCTGCCCGTGATGAACTAATAATTACTTACTTACGGTGTGCAATTTTCCACATGGGGCTAAGTTAAGATAGCTTAACAAACCATCCGGTATATTAACCTTTTCCTGTGTCATTTCGTCAAAATGAAAGCTGAAACTCTTATGGCGAAAAATGTCATTAACTTTGTCGTTAGCTTCGCGGTTGTGACAGAATTAAGAAACAGTGAGGCAAACCTCTATACTTAGAACTAGAACTTTAAACTAAACAAGTATTAGCTTATAGTTCTAGAACTTGCACGTTACACACTTTGAAGGAAATTCAGTCAGTATACGAAATGTTTCGCAAAGAACTGCTTTTACGTAAATATGTATAAATCCGTGGTAATTCATTGGTACATCTTTATGCGTGATTGAACACCAATATACGCTGCAATCCAGCCGCGTACGTGCAAACAGAAAATGATATATATAAACTGCATTAATATGCATAATTATGTATGTCGAAAACTTCTCCAAACACTACAATTTGAAATATTTTCTAGTCTTATCTATCGATTTCCAACAACTATGTTACTCTAACTATGTCATAGCTGTTTTATATAATCGAACCATTATTATGAAACTTTTTGATTTTTTATGCTCATCAGTGGTGAGACTAGGTAGAATAAAATTTTAAAATGTAGATCCATTAACTTTCTTAAGCAGTAATACGTTCAAATCAAGTAGCTGTAGTTATTAGCATTGGACTTTGATTTTTGTGATTGCCAAGTCTTGCAGAATAAGGAAAACGAATTTTGTTGCTTTTTGTTAATGTATAGTGCAATATCGCAGTCGTTAAATATTGACTGCAAGTCACTATCGAATTTGAGCTGGCTTCCTTAATGTGAGTACCAAACTAATTTTACAAGTAGGTAATACTAATGTTAATAGAATATCTAGCCACTCACTATCGGTTACTTAAAATCAGTATTTCGTCACTTTGAATAAAGTGTAAATGCAACGAACGGTTTATAGCTGTTCACTTGTATTTAATATTATTGTGTTAATTTGTGTTACGTAATAATAATAAAATAGCTCTCTAAGTTTGAAAGGCCATAACAGATTCAGACAGGCATCTTATCCTAATTTTTAATCATTAAACAGAATTCGGTTCTGATTACAGAGCAACAAACATATTACGTAGCGTTAGTAAAATGTTATGACGATCATCAGACATTGGCATCAAATAAGTAATTTAGAGATTAAAATAATTTGTTTTTTAATTAATACCTTAGTTAAAGCAATGATAAACTCGATTAAAGAAACATAAACCTACCAAATATAGCTATAAATACAAATTAAAAATAAAAGATCATTAGAAACTACTTTTGACGACGTTTCTTCCTAAAAATTCCAAGGTACCTTTCCGTCAGTTTATTTCTAAATCGGATAAAGTATTATTTATTTATTGTTTTCAGATAACACTTTGTTAGCGGAAATTCGGCTGATTGCAGACCACCGTCTCTCTGTGATAAAATCTGTTTATGTGGTAAGTAAATTCATAAATTATACATACAAATTAGGAATTTGGAAAAGTACCCAAAAACAAGATCTCGTGTTCACAAAAAACCAAAGACGAAAACATTACGTAGACATATACTTAGTTGATATTATATTTATTGGGTCAACTTACAGTACGTGGTCATACTGTTATTTTTTTGACGAATTTACATATGAATTTGTTCTTACTTTATGTCTACAATGCAAATAGAACTCTTGTATATAGGTCTTTTATTAAGGGGGAAAATCGATCATCCAATGACTTCTCCCGCCTTGGGTTAGCCAGAGGAAGTGTCAGACTATTACTGACTAAAAACCACCCCGTTCCTACTCCTAGTCTTCGAGCCGGGGCCCCGGCAACCCTTTAGGCCTTCCACAACTCCATATCGGGCATCAGCCCTACTGGACCCATATCTGTGGTGGTCTGATGGCTCTTTAATGCGCGCGCGGAACGCGAATCGCCGTATAGTATAGTATTTAACTACATAAACACAGCAACAAATAAATGATTCTATTCTAACAGTCGAATAACTTTAAGAAAAAGCCTCCTCACCTTGGCTGATTCACAACCTTGAGCAATATTTTGTTTGTGATCTTTTTCTTAATTAAAAAAATATTGTATATGATCCGGTTCAAGTTATAAATCAACTTTAAAATTATGCCTAGTATTTTTTATGTCACGAAACTTAACGATTCTTATAACATTAAAAACATACTTTCAAGTTTATGTGTACCTGAACTCTGACTTAATAAAATACTGTCATGAAAACTACTATTTAATGTAAAGTGTACTTGTGGTTAACACAAGTACACATTAATATTTAAATATATAATTTTCTTTCATGCTTGTAACATAACAAAAAAATAATGTAAATAGGAACTACAATTCAAGTTTTAATATTTGGTTTACCAGGGACAAGGTAAACCAGTGATCTTGTTTAACATTTATCAAAATATAACATTCTAGAAGTTTAGATTTTTTTAGCTACAAATATCAACCTAACTAACCTCGTTCCGTATCTAGTTAATCATTATGGCAAAACTTCCAACAATACCGATTAGGATTATACTAAAAAGTCTAAAAATCAAGAGTTCAATTAATTTATTAGACAGCTTCTTCCTATGTTCACGAAGGTATTGCACTTCTCAACGTCCGGAAATAAATAGAGTGGTTTACTTGGCAAATGGACATAACGAGAGGTCGAGGGTCAGATATAATAGTTGATGCTAAGCACAATGACGTTTGTGTGACGTGACAATGTGACGCAGAGAGTTTGTAAAGACGAGGGCGCGATGGTCGGGCAACGGCAGCGCGCGCGCATGTCAGTCAGTGTCCGCCGCGCCGGTGGACGCCAACACCTGCGCGTGCACATATATCAACAACGCGAAAGTCGACCTGCTTGCTTTTTATTATTTGTATTCACGCGGTGTACATAACAGACACGCTCCTATAGAAAGGATAGTATCGTCCTTTCGTTGTTCCACGCCCGGTTTACTGAGCATCCGTACACGTAAGTGCTATCAATAAAATTGTGATTTAATTCAATCGATATCAACGCAGATTTCGTTCAGGCATGAAAAAGAACACTCAATTGATTTAAAAATTCAAGTTTACCTTGAAAATTTAAAGAAATGATTAATTTTGTTCTAGAAATTATTTTTAGTTATTGCACAAATAGAAAAGTACGAGGCGGATTTAACATTTTCACATTAATTAATTTATCACGTTCTTGTAATCAAAAATCACAACAATTTTGTATGATATAAAGTATAAGTATTTATAAAATATTTCAATGTTTTCCTTAAGCACATTAAATTGTTTAAAATAATATTTTTTCTAAAACTTTCAATTAGTCAAAGAAAACAAAACAGTTCACGGTTAAGGCATTGTATCTGTCTAGTTTCGCGTAACAATCTTGCTTCAGTTCAAATCTGTGCTCAGACTGTATCAACGGTGATGCAATTAATATTAGCTTCCTCGTTTGATGCAAGTAGAGTAATGCATGTATTTGTGTTACACATCTGTGTACTTGCCATATTGTTATAACTTGACTACGACTTCATATAAAGCACTGAAGTCTTTTGATTTAACGTATAGTGTCTGCAATAAGTATGTTACTCGGCCACACCGGTAAATTACAACATTTTGTTGTAGTAGTGACCTTTCTTGAAACCAAGGAGCCGTAATATGCAATGCGAAACTCTCCAACAAACTTACTTCAGAACCAATTTTGAAACTATCAATTTGATCAAGTTAATTGTTCACCGAATTAAGTGTTAAACGGGATTGTTATTGTTCCATCATAGGTTACATAAATAAGAGACCGACAAAGATTTCACGAGGTTCCTATCTAATTGATCATCGCTGCATATCGATGAATTTACGCAACGCTGCGTTCGCGTCGCGTCGTCGTCTGCGGTTCCACTTCCACATTGTTTCGTCGACAAGCTATAATTGCGATGTTAACGGTGTTGGAATCATCGAATTTCATTATCTTTTCTAATGAATCATTTCGAATGAATTTTATTCCCCATAGGCGGCTTTAGTTTACTGATTTCTGTTATCGCATCATACAGTTAATCTCATTATTTTGATAATGCAGTCCGATTACATTTTTATTCGTTATGTTGTTATCGTTAACCAGTGTTGGTAAACGTAATGTAAATATACTTATTTGAATCGTAAATAAAATATTCACCATAAAGTATCAATTACCTTGGAATATGAGGAAACCACTATATGAATTTAAATGACTCGAATGTTCTAGTTCCTTACTGATCTTGAACAGTTCAGTCAGAGTTCAAGGAATAAGTATACTGGATAGTAATTTCTCATGTTCGTATTATTTGGCAATACTTGAATCATGGTTCTTAACCAATGGTACTTGAAACTTAGCAACGTGATATTTCGTTGATATTGTTTAATGAGTCACGTTTGTCAGCTGTCATTAAAATGTTTACAGTTTGTCGTGTACTTGCCAATACACGAAACTGCGAAAAGGACATAAATGCATGGCTTTATAGATTTTAATAAATCTATAAAGTGTCTGTCATTCTCTTACAGTAATGTTTATTGCATCTTATGTTCACAATGGCATGTTGCTTGCTTATTCATGACTAGTTAACAACAGTTTCAATAAAGTGAATCTAGGAGATGAGCCTATATAGCACAGAACATATAACGAAGGTCCCTATAGTGTACGACTGGGTAAGCTCGTTTGCATTTTTGTTACATCCTAATGATTGAAGCATTTTCCTATGCTCTGTACTAATAAATGACAGCCAACCAATGCAACTGGATGTTCCATTAATTTATCTAACATCTCATTTAATTTACTTTTATAATATCTTAAGACTTTATAGTAAGTCATTGTGCAATTATCTTCTAGGTTAGACAGCCATCATTACCACAATTAAGGAAAATTAAAGTTTTTATAAAATATTTAAAGACAGGAATGTCCGCATCCATTTACGGCCATTGCATAGATTGTGCGCGTTCATACTATAATTTTCATGTTTGCTTAATACGGTTAATCGTCTTTCCAGACTGTTCTTGTAGTTCTAGTACAATGTTATTCATGCTAACTAGTTTTTACAACATTGCACACCGAGGTGAAACTTTTTTTGTAAATAAATATTCAAAGGTTGCATTAAATTTCATAATGCACCTACTTAAATATGGTTTTGAGTGTAGTGATATTTTCAAATGCGACTTAGTATGTGCGATATGTTCGTAAATAAAAATAACGCAACAGTTAAAGCTGGCAGGATGGTTGTCGAATAGTGGTGTGTAGTGCGTACGAGTCTGTGGCAGTGGGTCAGTGGTACCACAGGGCGCGGGCGCGGACGTCTGGCGCAACACCCTTACGTAAAACTGCGGACTACGGACCGAGGCCCGGTGAAAGTTGTGACTGCTTCATAGAACACTCGAGACGAAAACGTTTACGGTCCCCTTGCCATTTGTAAACGGATTTTCCTTCGAAAAGGATAAACATGTAATTAATCGATATTGGTTTATCAATTTTTAGGACGTACCTACGTACGACAGTATCTTGGCATGTTTTTTTACTATAGGTACACATTAACGTTATTTGGTACAGGTTTTAGCCTAATAACTGGTTTTATGGTGTGACGAAATAAGATGGATGGGTGTATATTCCATTCAGGATGTTACTTACGCCTAAAAAAAATAATTCGAAAGGTCAATAGCCTCGCAAGTTATATTACAATATTTTTGTTTTTCCTAAGGCAACCCTGCAGTATGAGAATATCATTGTCCTGAATTTTTTAACTTTGACCTTAAGTATATGTGCGATAAATTAATAGCATTTCGAAGAAAATTTAAAACAGTATTCTACAATCCAAAAAGCAACATACCGGCCGAACGTATAACCTCCTCCTTTTTGAAGTCGGTTAAAAATAAAATGGCTATAGATCTTATAAAAAAAATTGCAACAATAAACTAACGTTACTTATGGGATTACAAAAATAATTCTAGAATTAAAATTAATTAGACTCAATGAATAAATAACAATAATTTAATTATGAAAGCGTGTTCAAAATGATGAAGTTATGTAATGGCTATACTTGCAAATGGGTAATTGGGCTCAAGTGTATGTGAGTGTAAGTGATTTTTGCCGTGAAGAGCAGGTCAAGGTCGGCTACAATAGGCGGTTGTGCAACAGCTGCCTGCAGCTCGCCGCGTCGTGTCATCTCGTTCTCTTCAGCCACTACCGGCTCGCGCAGGCGCAGCCGCCACTAGCTACGCTTATGCGATTTATTTCACGGTCATGATTTATAATTATTATCAACCTTGCCACCTGCCCTACCCGATTATTATACAGGTACATGGTGCCATGTTATTGACGTCTTTTGCATCTAATTTCCCTTGATTGTTTGCTTTAATAGGAAACTTAGCCGGGTTGACAAACTGCGCTTCGATTCATAGCGTTAGCGCTTTTGTATCAACAAGATCTAGAATTTCGATGCCGTAACAAAGGTTAACAATTCACGGAACGTGACGTTAGTCCAAATACATATTATGAAGACGTGAGGTTTAGAAACGAACCTACGTGCCATATAACTTCCGATCGACCGTGAGCAACTACTTGACTTGCTGATTTTACTCGTGTAAATATCTCAACATTGATATTGTGGGTGATATTGGCATAATTATGTAAGATCTAATGGAGCAATTAATTTTATATGCCTAGAGCATTAGAAATTCACGATTTTAATGTTAAGGTCTGCCTAACCTTAGTCTGCTGATTTTATTCACAAAATTATCAACCAGGTGTCAGATACGGTCAACAGCAATGTAAACAGGTCTATTATATCGCCGGCCCCCTAAGCTTGACTTACTTGCAAATAACTTCGTATAATATGATGCAACTACGGAATAATCAGTCATTCCATATGTGAAATCTCCAGTTTGAATGGCTAGATTGTAAGGACTATGCCGCAATATGTTTGCCTGACTTTCACCGTTCCACCTCCATTAACATTTTTTCGGTATCATAGCGATTTTATTAATTTTGGGATATATAGCGTTAATATAACATCCGGTTCAGGGAAATTTGCTAATTTTTCGATGTTATTTAACTTGAATTCCTGTAATATCTTCATTACGGCATTTACGCACGGGACAGGTTTTTCCAGTCCGATAATGTATTATGAATACATAAGTCACTGCCACGTGTTACGCTCTAAAAATATTAAATGTTCAGCTACAGGTTATGGTCCATTAGACTAAAATTAACACCCCAAGGTCCCTTCAATTCTGTGAATAGTGATTGAAAACAAACATTATTTTTCTGTTACATTTTATGTCCCATCACATTTTAATTATTTAACAATTATCGATGGACATATTAGCAATCCGCCATTTAATTCTATAAATGGTGACATTTCAAATCAGCAATCTTGTATCGAATTCGATGTCTCTTATCTTTAAATAAATCGTTGTAAATTAATACTTAAAATGTAGCTTTTAGTTTCTAAGCATCAATAAGAAATAGTGACCGTAATTGGTATCCACTCGTTAAGTAGCTCTATCTATCTTTCTATTAATAGCATCATAGAAAAATCGGTATAAAAACGCTGCTTTAGAATAACTAAATACGTCAACGTCATAGCTTAGTATAATTAATTTACCTATCCTGGTTCCAATAAGGTGAGCACTATTAAAATTATCAATGTTTTGTATTACTCTTATATGCATCTTGTTTCTGCGTCATTGTTAAGGAAACCGGGATTCCCTTAAGGCTTTGCTAAACACTTAGTTACCTCTAATAGTCTAATGGTTACTCAGTTAATTATATTAAATGTGTGAGAACGAAGTAAATACAATTGAAAAACGATTAATATAAGGATTAAATACTTGTGAATGAATAATATATTTCAATTAAGACAATACTAAATAAATAATCAGTTATGTAAATAAGTATTTATTTGTCTAATGATTGCTTTTACCTAAACTGAAAATATGATACGAATGCAAATATTTAATAACTACGTAGGTAACTAGGTATGTAACGACTAATTTAATATTAATGAAGAAAATCGTACTCCAAAGTGGGTAATAGAACTAATTCCTGTTCCTACTTATGTTTATGGTCTAAGATCCGATATAACATTGACCTGTTTAACGGATAGAAATTACTTATAGGTAATTTAGTTCATTAAAAATATAGTTAAATAAATGGATTGGCTGATAAAATCTTGACCAAGTTATGTGTGAGGAGGAGATATATGGATGAGGTGTGACAAGAGTGAGATTTTTTGTGCAACGACGCAAAAATGTGTGATTTCTGCGTCGCACACACTTTATACAAAAAGCATAAAAATTCCACTGAATGTTAATATATAAAGCAATGGTAGCTATTTTATAATGCCTAATTCGTATTATTTATTGATATTTATTTCTATCTATAGATAAATGACGAATTTTACGGATCCTTTAACCTTTTGCTAAAAGTATTACAATTTTGTGTAGGTCACTATGATCATGACATGTCCTTACTAATAATCACGTGGCATTGACTATATTCATATAGAATTTTCAATTAATTTTATTTTTGGATTTACTTTTTATTTTTCAATATCTGTGAATTTTTGCTCTTAGTTCTTAAATGTGCTTTTCATATATTTGCAGCTAAAGATTAGTTTTATTCAGCCTCTGTTATATCTTTTTATTTTTTTTGTTACAGATTTAATTAGTCGATAGAGAAACCTACCCAAAGATGGCTACCATATACAATTGGTACAGAGACCTAATGGACAATAGGAGTGGTAAGTATTATTTTTATTTCATTTCTCAAATATTAGGTATTATTATATTTTTTTTAATTAAAGCGTCATATTGTCATTTTATACCTTCATTGTCTTTGACAAAACCTTCGGTTATTTGTTACGTATTGTTTGTTTATCGAATGTGTTACATAAAGAATTCAAGAAACATTTTGGACATCAATTATTCATCGGTTGAACTTTAACATTTTTACAATTGTTATGTACTTAAAAGATGTTATTTTAAAACAAAATTTCATTTCGTAAGTATTGATGCGAAATAATTTTATGTTTATTGAGGTGTTTTAACAAATCTTGTGTTGAGTGTGAAGACAACGCGCATCGATCGTGTTTTGTCGAGTCTAAGAGTTTGCTCAATACATTACATAAGAACTGCGGAACGATTCACACTCAGGCGCAACCCCACTCCTGTAACGTTGCGCCTTCTCCGGCAGAAGTTATGTCAACTGCGCTGGCGACCTCGAAACCCATCAGTCTCGATTACTGAGCTACATACATATACTATAGAAAATACGCATCAACTTTTTATACTCTTATACTCTATTTCTTAGGAGTTTGCAAAATTACTCATAATTTAACCTATCGACTGTAATCTCGATAGGACATCGGTCGTGGTGTAAACTGTCCAAATTATTTTACATCGTTAATAAAAATGTAAAACCTATTTCAATGTCATTATATACAACTTACTGTCAAACTTATTGAAATAAAAAATATTACCTAAATATTTATTTGTACAGAAAACATACCATAAAGTATCAATACTGCGTACTTATATATTTATCGTAGATACTATGTATGAAGTCGTTTAATAAAATACAGTAGCTATATTATACGAAGGAAACTTATATATATACGGTTATCGTATAATACTTATATACTATAAACGATTCCGCATAAAAAAACCAAGAGGTACCTACGTGTGTACTTTTAAACTAATAATCTGTCAAAGTACAATTTTAATCAATTCTTCTATTAAATCATTATTAATATTGCTTATAAATTAAAACTTTGGCATATTCAAATTTTACAACTACTTACGTATAACCTTGATCATAAAATTACGGAAAACGTCTGAAAAGTATGTAGGTGACTACTTATCAGAATTATATAATACCTACTGTTATCAATATGAGTAACTGGCTGAACTTGAGATAGACCCAATTGCGTTATCGGCTGATAATTAAACACCAGACATTCTCATTTCTCGTACGATAGTGAATCATGAAGTAATTAATCATTCCGATAACAATACTTTCGTTACTCTAAAGTATTGATTTAATAGGGTAGATGCCTAATTTTTATTTTAATGTCCGTTTGGTAGATTATTTTAAAACATTAGCCACGTATTGTTTATTTTCTTACAGAAACGAATACTTTCGACGATATATTGGTTTTAAATGTCACGTGACGTCAGTTCTATGTCTAGGTACATTTTATACGTAGAAATGACGTTTCAGCCCCCACTTCTAAACATTGATTCGTTTTATCTAAGTATCATTTTGTCATACAACAAAGTAAAAAAATCGTGTCTACTAGTTTTTTATTACCTAACTTACGAACTAAATAGATTTTTAATTTTCATACTCTGTCATTATCCCAATTATAGAAATAATATCTATGTCATTTATGAATATGCTAGAGATGGTCTAGCATATTCGATATAATGTAAGTAATTGAAAAATCACAAGTTCCTATCCACACAAGGAAAATTATAGCGGAGTACTTTGTAATATTTATATAGCTTATAACCAAAGTACACTTTGTCTTGGACAAATGTTTGTATATTTATATTACTCTATTGATATTATATATTTTTTCTTGTATAATTTTCCTAGCTCTACTAGGAATAATGTGTAATTTATTTTCTAATGCTATTTGTTCTAACAGTTCACACAATATCATTATATTATAATTTATTTTATGTTCCATACAGACAGAATTGTAATGTGTTTTAAACAGTAATTTATTTCATATCTACTTATTGAATTGATAGCCTACAAAATGGAAGGTTGATGATGTTTGGTTTTCCAATTTCTAGATCCCCGAGTGAAGGACTGGCCGATGATGTCATCGCCATGGCCCACACTGGCGGCGTGTGTCTGCTACGCGTACTGTTCGCGGGTGCTGGGCCCGAGGTTCATGGCGAATCGGAAACCCTTCGAACTGCGCAGCGTGCTAGTCATCTACAACCTTGCACAAACAATATTCAGCGCCTGGATATTCTACGAGGTAAGGGTACAATCCACCATCTTGGGGTAAATAGCCTTACAGGGTAAAACACGCACGGCAGGCCAATGAACTTGGCAATCACTTGATATATTAGAAGTAACAGTACCTCGGTCACGCAAGTCAAGTGTTTATATTCAATTTTTTATGTTAAGATCACCATATGAACTTTCCAACCCGGCCATAAATTAACGTCGTTTGACCATTACCCTTTCGTTATATTTTTATTCTATATCCTGGTTATTTTATCTGTACATCTTACCTTAATTATGTTTCGAGAATATATTGGTACCTAAAAATAGAATTAATGCGGAAAATACGTTTACAAAAAATCTTGTCGTATGCGTGGTAATTTTTGTAATGTGTTGTTTTTGTTTTTTATTCACAGTACTTGATGAGCGGCTGGTGGGGTCAATATAACTTTACGTGTCAACTTGTCGACTATTCCCGAAGTCCGATGGCTATGAGGGTAAGATCGTAACTTCATTTTCCATTTCATATTTCAGATTGTTTCTAAAAACGTATACTACATCGCATTGAATACTTAGTAGGATTAGATAGCAGAAGAATATAACGTTATGAGAACACAAACCAGTGCCATTCATTGCCGATGTTTAAAACATTAAAAATAGAATTCTTTGAATAAATAAACAGATACAATGTTAATAAACATAAAAGTATAAGATAAGTAAAAAATCAGTTTATAATAAAAAATATTAATGAACTTTTTGTTACCTCTATGTCTATATCGCAAAAAGTGTTATTTTCGACTTGATGAATTTTCTTAATTACTTGGTAACACAAATAAATCGAGCGTCTAGTAAGTTTTTATTAAGGTATCTTAGTACTACTTGCAATAACTGGCGATGTAAAAATTCTGTCATCGTCCCCCTCTAGTTAAGTAAGTAAATATTTGTTAACAAAAATTATACAAATCTATTGAAATCTCTTAAGGTAAATAACCGTGACAATGACAATAAGAGCCTCTTGATCCGCTAAAACAATATAATAGAATATAATATGCAAAAAATAATAATATTTCTAAAACTTAAATTACTTTGTTACTATAAATCTCACATTAGAGATAACGAAATCCGGTAGATATAAATATTAACATTAAGATATTCTCACAGTCACAATATTTTTTGCGTACAAAAAGTAAGTAAATATAAGTAGTATCAATGACCATCGTTTTATTTTAAATCTTTTGAAATACAAAAAATCAAGGTAATAAATGATACTTCCGTCTTTGACCTGATAATTAGAAACGTCGACATACCTACAAAATAATAATATAGTGTCAACATAAGTTTTACGAACGTAAATGACGCAAGAAGGACGCGTTCATTAGCGATTCCCTGTGCCTTTGCTTGCTCAACCATTAAAATCGTGTAAAAAACAATAGTAATTATTATTAATGTTTAAATAGGTACCTAAATAAAATTTTACCTAAGTAAATGACAAATACGTATCGGTGACTGAGTGATTAACCTCACTTATTACGCACGCGATAAAGCAAATCGTATATCATTGTTTACGATGTAGTAAGTTTAGGCAGGTTTAATAAGCTTGTATATAAACTGTAATAATCTATTTTGTAGTGCATGTATTATCTAGAGACATATTATAATATATTAGTATGGCATATTCACCTAAATGTTTATTGAAGCGATTTATTACCAATACTTTTATTTGTTAATGCGTATCGTATAAATTTTAAACCGAATCGCGCTTTTTGTTCGAGCCAATTGCGAAATAGTCGCAAAAAATTCAGCTTAACTTGTTGTATGTTAATTATAATTATTATAATGGGCATTAATAAGAAAATACAAGTTGCTTGAAATATATTACCGTGTCTCATGAATAAAATATTAACAAATAGAATAAGCACTGACCCACGACTTTTCAATGTTATAATTGTGGTTAATAAATATTAATTTTAGTTCAACCTGAAATTAAGACCAAATATGCACAGATAATTGCAATTCCACTATGTTCCTATATAAAACAAGTGTGATGTTTCTTTATCTATCTTGTAATGCCACATTGTGAGGAAGAATGAAGATCTCCAATGCAAAAGCGTTTCGCGTTCGATACCCAACTATTTTGTTTTTAGATATTTTCGGAATACGAATTGCATTAGGCTCGCTCTTATCACACAAACATTTTTGCATAAAGACATCTTTGAGCACCTCGGATATATTATTTTATAAGGTTATCTTCTAATCAATCTTGTTACTATACAGATGGCGAATACATGCTGGTGGTACTACTTCAGCAAGTTCACGGAGTTTGTGGACACGCTTTTCTTCGTGTTGCGCAAGAAAAACGAACACGTGTCTACTCTGCATGTCATACACCACGGCATCATGCCCATGTCGGTGTGGTTCGGACTTAAATTTGCACCAGGTCAGTTGTACACCATTCTTCTCCTGCTTGTATTTAGTATCAGAATAGCCTGTACTAGAGTGGGCTACTAGCAGTTAAACTTTTAATGAGTGACTGACTTAAATCCCAAAACAGTTTCTAACTAAAATGAGACTTCCATACTTCCTTCCTTCTATAATAGTGCTAATTTATCCTAGACCAAGTAGTCCCAACTCTAGTAGTCTTACATTTAATGTTGCTATCATACAAACTACATTGCAGCAATCGCGTCCAATCGATATACTCAACTGTCAGTCATGTTATCAACTGCTGACTGGTCATCGCTTTTTACACCCTGCCTCTAGGTCAACTGCGCCAAAATAGCCATGCTGTACCGGAGTTGGCTACTAGCAATTAAACTTTCATTGAGTGACTGAATTGAATCCCAAGACAGTTTCTAACTAAATGAGACCTCACTCTTTACTTTGAGCTCCAGAACCTATACCAGTGCTAATCTGTCCTGTCCCAAGTAGTCCCAACTCTAGTAGTTTTACATTTAAAGTTGCAATACAAACTGCATTGCAGCAATCGCTTCCAATCGATATATTCAATTGTAAGTCACGATATTAACACAGTTCATTGCCTTTTACTCCCTGCCTCTGGGTCAACTGCACCAAGACAGATTCTTCTGATGACATGGCTTAATATGTGTATTTCTTTGTATCGGTATATGAAACACTCCAAGACTGAAACCAAAAACACTAATTAATTATCATACTGATCCAAAACGAAGGATTTAACCTTCTGAAACCGTATTAGAAAGCAGGAAGCTATGTTAATATGTAATAAATTGGAACGACTAGACTTTCAGGTTACCACATTAACCTTGTCCATGTAACTGTACGCGAGTAGGTATTGGCCACTTTTAGGGTCACTGAGGTCGTATTTTTAAATATAAACGTCCAAATTTTTCAACTGTTCTAAAAAATACTAGTGATGCTATTGTTCCAGTGGAAATGAATTAAAGTTATACCATAGTATCGAATTATTAGGATTTGATTTGCTTTTCTCTATGCCATTTCATAACGGGTTTTAAAATTATAGTTTTATCTGTGACTAAAATACATTACTAATATTTCTATCGCAAAAATCCGCGGATCGCAAACCAAAACGAATTTACGTTAAATAATAAAACACGGTTATAATCCCCAAATTAATGTGGCATGTCATAAAAGAAAATTTAACAAGCAGCTCCGGAATTGTCAAGGGATCAAAGTTATAATTAACTAATGGGCTCTGTTAAACACGCGTTAACATACGTCATTGCAGTACTCCAGATAGGAATTATTATATTATTCATACGGGAAAATGATTAAACAACATTCCTCGACCTCATTTAATGAAATATGTAAATAATTTTTGTGCTGTCCAATAATAATTAAGTGCATAGTTTAGAATTCCTAAATATAAAAACACTAGCAGCCCGTCCCGGCTTTGCACGGGGTAGACAATCATTTATTTTAGAAATTTGGATTGTTGTAGTGACATAACTACAATAGTTGGACATATGCTACCGCGGAGATTTTTCTAGACATTATAATGTTCTTCAATATTGTTGTACATTATTTTGTTCTATCGCTAATAGTTTCGGCAGCGCATTCGACGAAAGACATTTTAAGACTCATTTTTCTACACCTTCGGTTACATTGTTCAAATTTTACCAAGGATCCCTAATTTTTTCAAAATGAAATGTAGCCCATGTCAAATTGGAAGAATGTAGCATTCTATTGGTGTAAGAAATGTTTAAATCGGCCCAGTACTTTTTGAGCCTATTCATTAGGAACATACAAAAATAGGTACAAATCTTTCCTCTTTATAATATTAGTATAGATAAGTCTTTAAATTACAACCAAAAATAAATCGACTCCCCATAAATTATTATCACACGACTAAACAACGATATATTTTTTTTTATTTAAGAAGTTCTTAACGTCGATTGACGCTAAGCTTTAGCCGAATTGCATGGTCACCTCTTTGTCTAAAAGATACGAAATGAAATTAGGTCAGTGCGTGGTGAACACACATTACTTTTACTACATGCATTCCAGGCACGCACTTGCCGCAATTGAGCTCAAAGTTATAGCAACATTGTATTCAAATGCACACTAAAGGTACAATGTTTTTAATTTAATAGAGTAGTTCTGGCGAACGCGGCTTTGTTTGATCCTAATCTTAATGACATCAAAATGCAATAATTTAAATATTAATACGTGTATAGTATTATAGGGACACTGCATGCACGACATCAGACATGTCATTGCTGTAGTAGATATAGTTCAAAATGTATTTAAATGAGCCACTTAGTGTCGCCGCAGCTTTGAAGACTAACAGGCACTGAGTTGTTTCGCAGAAAATGCCTTTTACAGGGTGTAGTGACTACCTCTTGATCTATAATAGCTTGCAGCTCATATTTACCAAAGTCATGAGGTAACCTTTGGATAAGGCGTAAATTACTTAAAAGCACTCGAAACTACAATTCTTTAAAATGTTCTCAGAAATCGTAAAGGTACGGAATTTTTCGCTAGAAAAACTGTTTTGTAAAATATTTGTCCATCTCGTACGTAAGGTACATTGTGTACACAACACGAACTGAGTAGATATCAAAGGTCTCTATTTTATATTAATATTCATGCGGTAATCATAGATATCTTTACAAATACTTCCTAAACAGAGTTTCGGAGGTTCGTAAATTGACAAATATAGGAAATATTTGCACATTAAAACCTCTTTAGCATCAATAAACTAATGTTTGTTACTTCCTTGTGTATCATCCTTGCCTGCGGCCAAGGTTTGTTATCTTATCTGAATTAAAACATAAAAGTGTCAGTTTTAATAAAATAATGAGTTATTATGGGAATTCCATCAGTTTCTTTCAATTATATAACAGCCTCAGAATTAAGTAGTCAACCTCGATTACCGAATTAATCGATTCTATTTTCGGAATTTCTTACTAAATTGAGAGTGTCACTTCCGAAATCACCATTCCATGTATGGCAAACTTGAGTATTTAGGTGGAAATATTTAATTAGGTTGATCGATAATGCAAAATCCAAGGTACGCAATTTTGACGTTTTTGGGCACGCAAGGATCAAATCCAAATTCGAGTTTTCTACAAAATCAGGAAAAGGTTACGAAAGGTGTTTTATATAATAGTGTCCTCAATTCCGCCATGGCAATGGGGCACCATATTGAACACCATAAAATAAAATTGTTGTGTCGCAATATATGATTGAAGCTGCCGCTTTAACCTGTTATATTCCTTGAATAATGATTAAAAATATAAAATTACCTCTGTGTACAATGCGGTATCAATGAATTAGCGAACACATCCGCAAGTAAAAGAGTTAAAGGAAAACGATAATTTGTCAAACAAACAATACAGTACTTTGTTTGCGTGAAGCTTTTATACTGACGTTATTCAAATCCGTGTTCCGTTTATTTACCTAAATTATCTATACTCTATTAGATCACGTACAAATGTGAACATGACGTGTTAGTGTTAACAGAGAATGTCACTTTTTGTATTTATTTGCTGCTGTCGTGTGAATTGCGTCTTACATACGTAGGATCACCAAAAACATAAAACTCAAACTCAAAAGCATTTATTTCTATTAAACTGTCAAACACCAAGCGGTCACCGGTGACCGCAACCTATTGTTCTATAATTGTGTCTATAATGACGGTACTCGACGAGTTAAACCATAATTTGGTACTTTTCAAACGTCAATAAATATTAAATAAATAATAGTCTGTCAGCCTGTCCGTCAGAAAGCTAGATGCTCGTTCCAAAAAGTAGATTCGAGTGGAGAAGAACGAGCAAGAAAGAAACTTCATAAATATGTATATGCTGTTTTTGATTCCTTAAGCAAGCATATATAATCAAATACAAACTTTTTTCTTGTGTTCATACTTATCTATGCACAAAATTCATCTCTATGCACAAAAATGTCGAAAGAAATTGTTGACTATGGACCCGTGGCATATAGAAAAAAAAATATATATTGAACTAGTTCGATAAAATATAATTATGTATAAGAACTATAATAGAACAACAGGAAATTCCATTGTCATATATTCAAATAAAAGTATAGGTACATGTCATTTTCCCTATCAAAAAAAGTGTATGCCTAATTTGATTTGGTAAATAACTAAACCTTATGTTTATGTCAACAGGTGGTCACAGCACATTCTTCGCGCTACTGAACACGTTCGTCCATATCGTGATGTACTTCTACTACATGGTGGCTGCTATGGGTCCCAAGTACCAGAAGTACATTTGGTGGAAGAAGTACCTCACTGCCTTCCAGATGGTAAGTTTTGAAAATAAATTAAAAACCGCCATAAATCAACAGGTGAGTCTGTTGATTTATGGCCACACACAACATAGAGACGTAACTCAACTACAAAAAGTTTATTTGCATTGTTACTCTGTATACTCCTTAAAATAAAAGAGTGAATCAAGATGATTCTGTGAAGGACATTTCTTTTAACTTACCTAATTATTCGACATAGCTTATACTCTTAGACTATTTGTTTAATACTTGTATTAGAATTAAAATATTGAAATGCATTATTTATTATCATGTAAGGAGTTCCGGGTTTTCCTCTAAATAGCTTTGCTAATATTTATACTAGCTAGAAAAAGTATCTAAAAGATCGAAATACGTAAGAACTTAAAGACAAACATTGCAAGTTGTTTTGAACCATAACTGAAATGATGAGAGGTATGAATCAGCAAGGATTAGTCTTGACTCTTGATAATTTCGATGGTATCTAATAGATTATATTCCCAACAGGTCCAGTTCGTGATGATCTTCACTCACCAGCTGCAAGTATTGTTCCGGCCGTCCTGCCAGTACCCTCGCGTCTTCGTCTACTGGATTGCGATGCACGGATTCCTGTTCCTGTTCCTCTTCAGTGACTTCTACAAGGCGAGGTACACCAAGAGCGACAGGAAATCGCGCAACAATGGACTTTGTATGGTGAGTGAGCCTCTAACATTATTAATTCAATGTTAATTCAAAAGTCAAATAGCACATGCGGTAATACAACGCACTTCCGTGTTCAGTAGGAAAAGTACAAAATACGTAAAATCATATGCTTTTAAAATTATAAAATGACGCCTTAACTTCATTTTAAAATCATATTACAGTAAAGTTTTCTAAGCAATCTTAAGAACTAAGAAAATCTGCCTAATGTGTGTAGCAAAATTGTTTTTGCACCCTGATGTTTGCAAGGCAGTCACGCGTATAAATTTGCAATTACCACATCGGGACTATTTGTCGAACACTTCAGGACGCGATGCGAATCTACGTACCTCATTCAGATTCGTGCGTCATTACACGAGTGGATGTTGACATTGACGGGCTATGACTAGTGCATGTTGACATATGATAATAATGTATCGTCCTGTTTCAGACCGTCATGGATGACAGCAGCAGTTCGCTGAACGGCAAGAACGGGTACAAGCAAGAGGTGGAGCCCGAGGTGCCGAGCTCGTACGCGTCGTCCGGCGCGGACGCCTTCGTGCGGCGCCGGCCCGTGTCATAGTGTCACCGGCCTGTGTCATAGCGCCGCCGGCCCGTGTCATAGTGTCGCCGGCCCGTGTCATAGTGCCGTTAGTGCCACAGCTCCGCACTGTGTTCTAATGTTACAAAGACCATCTCGAACCTTCCACGTTAGTGTCCATCCGCCGCTCACCTGAGACTGATGTTTTACACTAGGAGACTGTGTAATGTCGCTCGTGCAAGATGCGACGTGAGTGCATAGTGCGCTGACCCCGGCCCGTCCGGCTGGCCCGTCGTCGCGGTCGAATAATGTTTCAGACTATATTTCTACAATGAATTTAGATATAAACATTATTACTTCTATAAAGTTTGTTGATGCACAAAGTCACTATTTTGGATCTTGCTTGGATTGTCTGCCTTGTAATTGTTTTAAGTACAAAGTATGATTATTGAAAATTTCTATATACTGTTGAAAATCAAAGTCTCGAATGATGTGAAATCTAGTCGCGTTTTGGCGATGTGTTGTTTTCCTATAATTAACAGAAAGCGAGGATCTGTTATCGCAGTTAATAAATTATGACAACAATTATTGATCAGGTTATTTTTGTCACAATAAATATTCGTACATTCTCGATAGGCGAAAGTGAGATGGGCATTTTGTATTATGTATATATTTTATTATTTTAAAATTAACTTAGTTATGGATGGTATCATGTGTAACGAGGTGTATTAAAGGTTAACGGTTAATTTTTGTAAATATATTTTAATTATTAGATGCTAATTAAAACAATAAATAATTATGTTACCATAAATTTGTTAGATATATCCAGTGTAGATTTACTAACAGCAGTTATTTTCTGCCTCCTGTGCCCTGTGCTCAAGTACCTCATACTTCCGCATAAAACCTTTACAAATTAACTTGTCGATATATTCGTGAATGAGAACAATGTGAACAAATTGTCATAACCTGTGGTTATGAACAATGATCTTTTCGATTTACTTTTTATATTTTGTATCGTTCGGGGACTGTGCACAATACCTTGCAGTAGAATTATCGCAGCGACGAGCATTACGTTAAGTAACTGAAGTACTGTGTGTCGTGTACATGTGTGGTCGAGGATTGAAGTAGTTCGGTAGCTAGTTAAGTAAGGAGGTATGTGCGCAGTGTCCGGGCGCCGAGCCATCACGATACTATTTAAGTATTATTTTGTATCAAGTTCTGGTATTACGATGCTTTAAGTGTTGTGCAATGTGGAGTGCCGGTTGCTTACATCGCAGGCGGGCGAGTCCGCGGGACACAACAGTCTGCTCAAGTAATTGCTGCGAGTACACTCTTTTGCAAGTTTATTTATTACTTTAATAAAGGATTTTACAATTGATTCCGTATTTTATTTATATTACAGCCAATTATATAATTATTATGTACGTTTCGTGACACAGAATAGATATTTCACTTTTATTCCCTTGATTAAACTGTCAAACACCAAGCGGTCACCGGTGACCGCAACCTATTGTTCTATAATTGTGTCTACAAAACCGGTACTCGACGAGTTAAACTGTCAAACACCGCGAGGACACCGGTGACCGCAACCTATTGTTCTTTAATTGTGTCTATAATGACGGTACTCAAAGGGATTGTTCATGTTTAGACACGTTTGCACATCAGGCTACCTTTAAATGTCCAATATCTTTAATAACAACTTTATTACCAAAGAATAAGATTGAAAATCTTAAACAATTTTAATTTGGGGTACTCGGCATCTTAGTTTGCAACAATGCGATGATCATGGTGATGTCAATGATCCTTTACAAAGGGTTCTCATTATACTCTAATCTAAAGATACAAAACTCGTTTTTCCCATACATATAGGTGAGCAGGTAATAAATCTGGGATCCCCATATTACTGGCCTGATTATTTAAGAACCTATCGGAGCCATGCTTGCAATAATGTAGGTAATTAATTATGTCAAAATTTTACACTCACACCTACCTACCCTTATTCAGTAAGCATGCACCAAGAAATATCCAATCTCCTGATCTATCTCATAATTTATTTATCTTAACTTTGATTTGACTGTTTTCGAGCATAGCAAAGTATTTCATAAGTAACTCGACTCATGTTTATACGTTAGTTTAGAAATAAAAGGTAATTTAAGTTCAACCTGGTTTGTACCAAAATTTGGATATTATCTATTTTTTGTTATTTGACCAGTGTTTTGATGTTTACTTTGCCTACTGCAAGTGCAACTCGCGTATCAAATTAGCTGTCAGAATAATTAAGCTGTAGACAAATAAGTAGTTGTTACATACAGTGGTATTAAGTACCGTAATGTCAACCTCTGCCTACCCCTTCGGCGATAAAAAGCGTGATGTTATGTATGTAATTACAAGTAGGCCCAAATTCTAAAGTCACTATTCGCATTCTCGTCTAAAAAGTGGCATTCGTTACATCACTAGTGGGTAGATACCTATATCTATAATTTTTTTTTAAGGGGGGAAATCATCGTATGACTGCTCCCGCCTGGGTGAGGCGGGAGGGAGTGTCAGACTCTTACTGACTAAAAACCACCCCGTTGCTTCTCCTGCACGTCGAGCCGGAGCCCCGGTTACCCGTTAGGTTCTCCGCGACTCCGCATCGGCATCGGCCCTATTGGGCCCCATCTGTGGTGGTCTGATGGCTCTTTGAGGCGCGCGCGGAACGCGACGCGCCGTACGCTCGGGACCTATATCTATAATAGCGTAGAAACAAACGAATTAAGTAAACCAACGTACCTACGAACGACTAATATATTTGATTATTTCCTAGATAGTTATCGTATGCAAATTATCTCGATTTAAGCGACACGACGATCGTCTTCAATAGTTTCAAGATCGAATTGATACTGGTCATTTAAATGATTGATTTATTAAGATACCTACTTAAACCCATAAAACTGATATTAAATGGAAACAAAGTACCAGTACGTACAAATGAGTGTTTTCAAAATAAATTCCAACGCCTGTTTTAAGTTAAGCACCCATAATGATGGTATCCAAGGACATATCTGGGTAAATGTCTATGTTTATATACAGCTGCCTAAGTACCTACGTTGCCCAATGGAGTAATCATTCACAAATAATGTTATTATACTGACTTTAGTCGACCCCTAGTATTTTGCAGTAACGTTGCGTTACGCCATACTACGAAAATTATTAGGAATTACTGGCTCAGTGTCCTTTGCGACAACCTATCACTGCCATTTCAGATTAGATAGGACTTAACCTGCATAAAATTAATTTTATAGAATACCTTTGTACCACAGTCAGTAATTATCGGTGCCGGTGGTCGAGTAATCGTAAGACTCCCAAACGAGATCAACTCTGGCTCCCGGAGTGAAATAATCGGGTTATTTGTCCGATTTACGGCATTATACTCCTTCCCTTTGTATAGGACTAATAACATAACTTCTAAAAAAGATACTAGGCTCATCTTTAGACAGTACCAAGTTACCAATCTGACTTTAAATTGCATAGCTAACAAAATACATTTTGTTATTAACGTCAGGTAATCTCTTATTCTGTTAGCACCACTAACCTCGGTAGCAACTTGATGATCGTAGTATTTATAAAGGCCCTACCTATAAAAATTAATTCTCCTAGTCCTACTATGCAATAATAAACAAAACAGAGATTCCAATATAGGTACCTCCTACCTAGGCACAACCTTACTTAAGAATTACTGGTCAACCTAGAACCACAAAGTTGAAGTTGTTCTTTCATTATTACTTTACATTGTAAAACACGTTTGAATAAATAGTAGAATAGATGTTTATTGAAATAGGTACCAGGTTCTTGGAAGTAGGTCCATGGGTATCATTATAACGACTAATGAACTAGAAAAACTAAGACGTTCTTGTACCTTCAACTTTTTTTTCTTTAAATCATTTTCTTGCTGTGTGACTACTGTTTTTGATATATTTATAATTTTAATTTTGTCTTACCTGTTACCTATTACGTCAGTATTCGTATGAAAATGTAAGTGGCTCAATGTGACTATTTTTCTGCTAAGTCTGTGTAATGTAGCTGTAGATTCACTATTTAATAAATAAATAAATATACCTAAGTATAGAAGTTTTTGCTATTAAACGACTGAGCTCATCAGAGACGGCTGCTATTATCAAACTTCATATTCAACAGCTTTGCAAACACTAATCTAAACTTTAAAGTTGATTTGTTTGCTAATAAGAGAGTATTTAAGTTATTGCCTACCTTCTTACGTATAGCTAGAAAAATAATAACAATGTGGTCTTGATCGATTATTTTCATCATACATTGCAAAGTTCTAAGCGATCAGCAACTACGTAGGATATTACAGTGCATTATAGTACTTGCCGCGCAAGTAGGCCTACAGGTGCACCCTTTGTTTCTTTGCTCCTGGTTTAAAAGGGTTGCTTTAAGTTTAAAATAATATACTTTTAGTAACTACGGCTAGGTGTGTCATGTGACAAATGAATGGTATATCCAGTAGCACTTAATCATCTAGTCTAGCCTTATGACAATAATATTTAAAGAAGTTATTAGAGTACATATGTATATTGACGCACCAAACCAAAATCCTATACACTTAACATGTCTGATGCGAGTTTTCGTTGATAAGTCAACTGTACTTAATATCTAAGCATACCTAAAATATTGCAACTTGATGAACAAGACACTTATTTAAAGATTTTTTTTATTCTAGTGTGTGACTAAGCCGAATGTAGTATCGATCTAATACAAATTCGTAGAATCCCATAAAGGACTCCGGCCGCAACGAATTGAACATTATTCCACGAAATATTAACTTTTGTAGGTAAAGAAAATTGTTAGAAATGCGAAAATGTGTTTATTTATTTGTCGTTCTTTCGCGTCATGTATAAGTCATAACAAAGCGTTTTATTGATCGTTGGTATTATATAATTTATGTCTGGAGATAGTAAGGCCGGGGTGAGGTAAGCTAGTTTGGTCACTAAGACGAATGAAGATAATTAATATCAATACCTGGATATTTCTATGTATAAAAAAATACCAATCAGTCATATTTTAGCTACAATATAGATATTGTCTAGAGACAAATTCTTAAGAATTACTATAAGTACAAAAACATAATTCAGTGAGCAATAGAAGTAAGCAAACAAACACTTGCGCATCGATGAGCATCAGCTCACTACTTTACCGAGCTAATGCAAACAGTAGGTAATAATTGTATTGACAAAATACTGTACGTACCTACTACCTGCTTCTTCTAAGACGTTAAAAATATTACATGCATTTTAATGTATATATTTTTAACGCGCTGTTATTAAGTCGACCTATGAAACGAACTATGTAATAAAATCTAACTATCTGATTTTTATATAATCATAAAACATAACATAACATAACATCACGCCTTTTTATTCCCAAAGGAGTAGGCAAAGCTGCACATTTCGGCACTTAATACCACTGTACAATGTAACTCCCACTTTTCACTATTTATGTTATAAGTCCCGTGTAATAGGGGTGAGCCTATTGCCATATACCGGGCACATTTCCAGAGTCCGTGCTACTACTGAGATTTTTAAAAACCCAAGTAATACTTTGCTCGACCCGGAAATCGAACCCGAGACCGCTTACCCGGCAGTCGCACTTGCAACCACTCGGCCAACAAAGCAGTCATATAATCATAAAACTTGTCAATTATATATGTTGATAAGATGATAATAAAATATAATACTAAGGTACCATCAAAATGGTTTTTGATGGAACCTTGGGTTACCTACTAGTAAACTTAACATCGAGTGTGGGCTCATTAGATATGTCCATTTCTCTGAATAACAATCCAATTACCTCGCTCCCCAGTCTCCCCAAATCCTTAAATCTCCAACAATCGTCAAATTCCTAAGGCCAATATCGCCGAAAGGCCGGTAACAAATTTGTAATGTCTCTGGTGTTTCGGGTGTCCATGGGCAACGCCGATTGCATACCATCGGGTGGTCCGTATGCTCATTTACCGGTTTAAAAAAGGATTATATTTATCAATAAAGCGGCGAAATACACCCCTAGCTTGCGTAGCACGTAGTTCGTAGCTGGCAGCGCGTAGCTCGTAGCGCGTAGTGCGTAGCTCATAACACGTAGTACGTAATTCGTAACGCGTAGTACGTAGCTCGTAGCGGCTAGCTCGTAACGCGTAGTACATAACTCGTAGCTTCTGAGGCGTGGTACGTTACTCTTAGTGCGTAGTTCGTAGCGGCGTTTTTCTTTAATCTCGAAAGTGTGCAAACAGTGGACAAGCATTTAAGATATTTTATTCTTAGATAACATAATATGAAACTTATTATTCTCTGATGGCACACCAATACGTGTATAGAAGTGTCCTTA